TAAAGCTAAGCTTAGCTTTGAGGAAATTTCTTTGCTTAATATAAAGTGTATAATTTGTGTCTTAATTAATTATTTAATTCCCTTCAACTTTAAGCTCCATTAGGCTTATAGCTTTTGGGAAATTACAATACAGACCCCAAGCTTTTCTTTTTTATATTTTTAGCATCATTTATACTATTATGACGTCATAGTAGAAGCTAAGCTTGTTTATATGTGAATAGGAGTTGCCGGAGCACCAGCGGAGCGACGCCGTGAGCTCGATGGTGTACGAAGCGAACGCAAGGGTTCGAGATCCAGTGTACGGCTGCGTGGGAGCCATATCGTCGCTGCAACAGCAAATCGATCTGTTACAAACGGAGCTAGCGATTGCGCAAGCGGAAGTAGTACACATGCGAATGCGTCAATTCACATCGTCATCGTCGAACCCGACAGCCGGACACTCGCCGGAGACTGCGTCGCCGTCGGGCAAGATCAACATTCCGCCGCAAAACAAGTCCTATTTTTCCATGGACAACATGGGGGAGTCGTTGTGGTCATCCTGCTAGCTAATTAATTTAAGCTTTAGGCGTGCGCTTTTTTTTTTAAATCTTATTTTTCCTAATTATCATTATAATGTGCTTTCTTTATCATTATAATGGGGCGGGCTTGCTTTATTGTACTTCTGCTTTTATTTATACTTTTTTATATAAATTATGTAACTTTGTAGAAAAGAAAATAGCGCTACGCCCAGATCATTATCATTCATAACCATATTGTAAATGCTTAAACAATGTAATTAATTATGCGGTGTCATATTTATAATATATACTTTTAATTAGAGTATTTATATTGGGCCTTTTTTTAATTCTAATTTAATATATTATTATTGATTATTGCAAGTTTAAAAATATATGAATTAATTTTTTTAAAGTTTCATTAGTGGTTGAGATCCTATATCTGGTTAGTTAAAACCCTTTTTTTTCAGTCCAAAAGAATTTATATTTATGTTATAATATGGAGAGAGATGTAATTGTAATGAAATTTAGACCTTAATTTTGACTTTATAAAGATATGATTTATAAGAAGGTTAGGAAATTGAAATCTTGGAGCATGACAAGCTCTGGATTCGCTGCATTATTGTAACATGAATCATCGACATTAACAAAAAAAAAAGTCTATTGTTTTTTGGAATCATTAGTTCTCTAAGTTTTGTCGCCAACATAAATTATGTACAATAATCATCGGATTATGTTCTTTTTTATATATATAATGTTTGTGCACTTTTGGTAATAAAAATGATTGTGGCCCAAAAACAACATTATATTTTACGTAAGATTTACAACTAAGCGACTTCATCCAATCATATCCATATATATTCATTTGTTCATTTGTAGACCCTTTTCTTTATTTCTTTTTAGAGTTGACTTATTTAGTGTATGATTGCCTACATTTTCTTTTCTGTTGAGAATAGGAAGAAACAACGAGCCTAGACTAGTGTGTTAGAGATTAATCGGACTAGATCAAGACCTAGATCAAGATGTCTCTAGGAGACCGTGCATTTAGGGTACGAAGAGCGGCCAACAGGCTCAAGCCCCAATATTCCATACCACAATAGGTTTGGAGGTTTTGCACGAGAACCTTAGAGATAGTGTTTAATCCATTAAGACCTACCCTAGAAAACCTAGTAGAAAACCACGATAACCAAGGACAATCGAGGTATCTCTTCGGACTTAAGCAGTGTGAATAATTTCATGAGATGGGCAGCAAGGACCCCATAGATTAACCTAGTAGCTGACTGGCCCATAGGAGATCGCAACCCCCCAACTTTAATAGCAGTATAGTCCTGTGGGAGGGTTGTCAGCTAAGCCCCACATATGATGTTCAAAGCACTTTACGGATTTAGCTTAGGACACTGATTATTCATTGCATAAATAAGGAAAGCCACTAAGTTGTCGGGTACCTAACTGCTCAGATAGCATTGAAACTTATATCACAATTCCTAGAGCCTAGATGATATGAACCAAGAGACATCAATCATACAATATGCTTCAATGAAGATGTGAAGAAAAGGTTGTCAAAATTATCAAAAGATGTTTCAATTCATGCTACATTGAAGAAGAATAAAGTTTTATTGTTGTAAATTTTGGGTGGGTTATAATTTAGAGTAATTTAGAGTTATTGTATTTTAAGACTTTTTATTTAATTTCGGTTACATTTACATAATGGCTAATTATGGCCATAAAGTGTGAATGTTACAACTTTTTGAATGTCTTTAATAGTTTCATTTTGAAGCTATATAAAGCCATGTTTGTTGTATTTGTAAGGTAGACTTAGAAGATATAGTAAAAGGAGCATTTGTGCTTTGTTTAGCCAATGGCTAAGTTTATTTGCAACTCTATGTAGTTTAGGTTGCATGTAGAATCATTCAAGCTCGACATGATCAATCTTGCTTGTGGAGTGATTCGAATCTCAAACAAGTGTTTGAGATATTTGATCAACAAGAATCATTGAAGCTAGACATGATCGATCTTGCTTCTGGAGTGATTCGAATCTCAAACAAAGTGTTCTTGACTTGAGATATTCGATCAACAAGGTAATCCGAATCTTACTCCCCTTGTAGTGATTCCTTATCTTATCACTAGAACAAAACTCGTGGATACTTACTGGATTAAGGATGCGAGAAGAGCCAAAAAGTAAGTTGCTTACTAAGACTCATCCCTTTCTATTTTTTTTTTTTTTTTCCTTTTCTTCTCAGGTGAATGATGCCATTGATCGAGGTGGGAGGGTGTTTGGGAGTCTTGAAACCATAGAGGAGTGACCCGGAGCGTCTAGGAGTCTATAGAGTCACACATAGTTACATCATACGTTTTCTCTTATGAAATTCATATACTACATGAACATTGTTCGTTGATTGAAAATTTTCTTCTTTTGCAAATTTTTTTTCGTAAGGTCTTCTTGCGTATCTCATTTCTACATGTTTTCATTGCATAATTTAATGGTCTCGTCCTTGATTTCGAGTCTCAAATTTTGGGCTCTGACCACTTATTTCTACCACCGGAGAGATGGGAATTGTTCTTTACTTGGAGAATATCCAAATTTGTTAAAGAAAGAGTGACAAAAATATTATACATACTTTTTTTCTAAAAGTAATCATAACCCTAAGTTGTATTCAGAATCACTTCAACCAAAAGGAATGTTGAATGAACATGTATAGTGAAAGTAAGGTGGCAAAAAACCCTTATTTGGAGTAGGGTTAGGCTCAACTCCTACGGCGTGTAAGGTTTGAATTTGAGAAGAGATTGATGATGGGAAGGCTTGAAAATGCAAGCCCTATACACCTACTGGCATGCCCTATACACCTACTGGCATGCCCTATACACCTACCGGCATGCCCTATACACCTACGTATACCCATCTTACTTACCCTATATCAACACAATGTGGTCATCTTTACCTTTCTTTCTTGCTATTATATGATTGCAACATTATTGTATCAATCATCACCCATTTGATTTACTCCTCCTATTCTATTATGTTGGATTGCTGGTCTTTCCCTTGATGGGTTTTTGATATAAATAAGGTTCAAACATGATACATTTTTTTTTAGTGTGTGAGAAAAAAATGTTGAATTTGTAATGATAACCAAGTAGAATCTCCTTTTTCCCTAATTCCATGGGTCACAAATGGTGCCAAAATAAGAATCCCATTAAAAACCACAATGTTTCTTTGTGCCTGATTCTGCTCAACTTCTTCTTCTCATCTCTTCCAATAAAGAACTGATATCATTTGCATATGTAAACTTTGAGTGCTTCATGATCATTTGTTACATGTTTATGGGTTTGTGATTTGATTATGAACAACCACCACTTGTTGCATGATTTCCTTTTGCAAGTTGGGTTTCTGTCGATCAATCATCCATGCCCAAATTTATAAATATTTCGTCGTGTATGATTATAATTAACCCTACTTTTTCTTGGTAAACATAGGTGAGATTATACCAAACTTAGGTGCATGTTAGACATCTATGGTAGGTTCAGGTTAGTAAACTTAGGGTTCGAGGGAGGGACTTGAAAGACTTCGAATTAAGTGCATGTTTAGAAAAATTGATCGAAAGAAAATGGTATACGAAGGTTTGAATAGTGAGTCACTGTTCAAGCAGCTGGATTTCTCGATAAAACCTCGGTTGGTAACCCCTCCTTCCATACAAGCTAAGCTTAAGAAGCCGAACTCAAACTCCAACCCTTAAAGCAAATATGTTGAGAAACATAAAATAAAGAGCTATATTGTATGCTCGTGTATAGATCTAGGTTGTTAACGGACTTGACAAACTCATGAATTACCTTGTTATTGTCCACTTTAAACTTATATATACGATCGACTCAGTGTCAATAGAAATATTGTCCTTATTACTTACACGTACGAGAATTCTTTTAATAAAAGACAATATTCGCATTGAACGTTAAGATCTCTTTTCAAATGATACGTTTATGGGTCGGTGTACGAAACAAAAAGAATCTAAAACAAATGGCTTCAATCTCAACCCACCAAATTAAAAAAGTGGGCAAAAGGTAAGAGAGAATCCATGAAAGCCTCTTTAATTATAACATGAAGGAGCAATAAGTCACCCACAGAATAGGCCACCCCTTCAAGCTTCTACCTAGTTAATTAGTGCTGTCCTAGCATCCCAAAACCCTAATGTGACCTCTCCATCACCTTTTCCTCAAATCCTTTCACACTTTTTTAGATCAAAAAGGGAAAATAAATTAATCCCAAAAGAAATTATTCCGTTTCTAAATTTTTAAATATTTCTAATATTTTTCGGCTAAAATTTGTATCTGATAGAGGTGCATTTATGGATTAATTTGGGTCCGGAACGAACAATTTTTAGATCCATTGCTTAAATTATAAATTTTTTCAAATCAAACAATCATAATGGTTGGTTTATTTAGTTCGGGTTATTTGGATCCATTATTCAAATTTATGTTATAAAACTAAAATGTTCAATAAAAAAAAAAAAAGTGATTTTTAATAAAATTTTGTAGTTTTGTAATAATTGTGAAATAATTACAGATGATGATCAAGGCCACTGAAATCTGTGACATAAGGTAAATACATTAAACTTGCTGCCAATTCTTGCAGCCAACTCTCTTCCTCTTCCTTGTTCTGTCCAAAAAAAACAACAAAAAGTAAGGAAATTGACCCACCCATCTCAAAAAGCTCTCCACTTTATCATCAAAAACATACAAAAAATGGAAAGCTCTCGCCTTTATGAACAAAAACATACAAACAAAATAGAATGTTGTTACCGTTTGATCTCTTTGTTTGTTTAATTGGTTGGTTTGGAGAGGGATCTGAGTGTGACAGAGCTCGTTGTTGTTGCGAGCAAATCTTCCTCGTACTCGTGTTCTCCTGTCTGCTAGCGTCTTCCGACATGCATACTGTGAAACAACAAACCAAAATCAATGATGAAGGCACTTAGTTTATTTATTGAAGAAGAAGAAGAAGAAGAAGAAGAAGAAGAAGACGAATTGTAAGAACCTTGATGGTTTTGTTGAAATTCCTCTGGTTTCTCTTCTTCAAATATCTCACAATCCTTTCTTTCCTCTCTTCCTCTGAGTACCGAATTGCCACCTTAATGTTACTCTCTTCCACGCCGCCCATTTCATACTTGCTGCTGCTATACACAGGCTTCAACTCAGGCACGTACCCGAAGACCTCATCGCCGTATTCGCATGCCCCGGGCAACGCTGCCTGGCTGCCGATGAAGCTGTGAATGCCATACAATCCCATGTTAGACTCAGGCCAGGACGGGACAGTCATGTCGGAGACGGGACATGGCATTGTTAGAAGCGGCGAGAGGGCATCGGACGGGGAGGGGATGATGAAGGGCTGTCCCCCGGCAGCCAAATCGACATGATGATTGGGCCTAATGCTACACATTCCATAGTCTCCAGCAGGCATTAATAGGGTGTGGACATCAGAGAAAGTGTTGTTGGTGTTGGGAGGAAGAAGATGATCAGAGTAGAGATGAGGGAATGAAGCCATGGAAAGGATGTGAAAGGAAGGAAGGAAGGAAGGAAGGAAGGAAGGAAGAGAGGATTCTTTGGGGTCTCACAAAATATGCTCTTTTTTCTGTTAACTGCAACGCTTTGGATTTGGCATCCAACTTTTATAGATAAACACAACATGAAGAAGCTTCAAAGTTGACTGATGCAACAACTTGCCTTGCATGGGGCTGGGCAGCTCGGTCACCTGACCGTATATTTCTCCATTTTACTATGTTTTTCTCAATTTTACAACAAAACTCCAATACATCATGCTAATTTCTCTTTCTCTTTCTCGGGACCAATCTTAGAGTTGTCTACTTCCTAAAATTGTCATTTATTTTGGGAATTTTCATTTATGATCGATTTTTCCAATTATTATGTGAGTGAGACATAGTTAGGCAGGCATGGAGAAGAACAGTGGTTTTATTTTTCCTTTCTAATTAGACGTTTAAATGTGGTCTTCCACCAATTTCAAGGTGGGTCCTCAGGGGTCAAAGGTCCTATAGGTTAAATAGACGTGAGATTCAAACTTCTTTCTAGTACATCGTTTGTTTGAATTTGACTGTAACTATGAATTTAATTACTAGGAATAATTAAGGAGTAGGAGAAAGTGAGGAAGAGTTAAAAGGAGTTTATGGGGAAGGTGAAGTTAAAAGGGAAAAAGAGGAAGAACCCTGAAAAGAGGGAGTAACGGCAGGCCTCGTGCGAATGGTATTCTTGTGGTACTGATTAAAGTGCTATCTCAGACTAACTACTTCCAAAACAACTGAACCCTTTTTTCTTTTCTCCTTTAAATATATATATAATATACAACATATAGATATATATATAGAGAGAGAGAGAGTTAGAGAGAGGGCAAGAAAGGAATCGAACACATGGGTTGGGTTGGGTTGGGTTTGGCTTGGCAAGATGATACAACAGAGAGAGCATGAAGAAGAAGTGGAAAGTACAACAATATATACCCAAATCTGAAGGCTTCTTCTTAATTACAGTTTCCATTCATGTCTCTTCCTTGTTTTCTTCAACATTTTGGCACAAACAAGATTCATTTCTAACTCTCACTCTTTCCAATCAACAACAGAATTGGATTCATTTAGTATTATTATGTTCTTTCATTATCTAAAACCCCTTCTTCCCCCTACAACTCTGCATTTATTTACGTCCAATCACAGCAAAATTGGGTTGAACGAGTGGCTTTTGGGTGTTAGTGCTACTCCTACTGTAAACATCATCACTAAGTAGTACCCATTTCCAAAACCTTTAAAACATGAGAATGAGCATAGTAAGATGATATACACATTCCAATTGGGCTGAGGATAGGTATACTCTGCATGCTTACTCTTTAAAAAAATAATGAAAAATAAAAGTTTCTAAAAATTGCAAACTTTCTATACGTCTTAACTTATAAAATCAACAATTCTTCAAAGTAAGAACATTTTAAAAAAAGATCTAAAACAGTAAAAACTCAATACATTGAATCTCTCACTCATTCTTCACAACCATACACGTTAATAATGTTCAAATGCATGAAAGGTATATTTAGTCTAATTTTTTTCTCATTTGAACACTAACCTTTATGGCTGTGATTTTTTATAATGGAATTACATCTCTCATTAAAGTAAGAAAGCTAGAGATTCAAAAAAAAAAAAAAAAANAAAAAAAAAAAAAAAAAAAAAAAAAAAAAAAAAAAAAAAAAAAAAAAAAAAAAAAAAGGCAATACCAAACAAATCTATATATATACACATATATATTATATTATATATATGCTGAAAGAGAAGGAACAAATTGAGAACCTCAATCTTATCAAAATTAGTGACAGCCAATTTCTGAAGATTCCTTTGACCAAATTCTTATCGTTTCCATCCATCTGGCTGTGTGCGTTTGAAGGAATTTTTAATATTTTGTAAAGCCTACGAGTATCGGGTGCTTCTCATCACCTTTTTCCATCCTTCCTTCCTTCAACCCTACTTTCAAATACTTCCTATCTGCTAACGGCCTAATGTTCGAGACATATATCCTTAATCAAGAGGGTTCTTCACCGTTTCTCGGGATTTAGGTTCTCGAGTTTTTGGTACGAATGGCCATGGGTTTTGAGGAATGGAGTTCTTGGAAGTCATATCACAGGGAGAAATTGGAGGGTGGTTTGCAAGGAAGAATGGTGCTGTGAATTTACCTATATGTTACCTCATCATTTCTCTTCATCCAATTAAAAAAAAAAAAAAAAAAAAGTGTCACAGAAGAAGACTAAGAAGACTACTATTAGCATGTGAAAACAGCAAAACGTTGCCATACTGCAAGGGGGTTAGATCAATGGACTAAAGTAGTAATAATTTAACCCAAAAAGAAAAGCGAAAAACAGAATGATTCCCATTCTTTTCTTGGCAGAAAGAAGCATCACTTTTACCTGAGGGTTTACCCCATGAGTCACCATCTAATAATTCAGAATTTCACATCAATCTCACCCAAGTTGGTACGTCGCTAGACAAGTTGGCGCTGTGATGAAGAGAGATAGCTTGTAAGTGAACGTACGCTGATTTTTGGAGCACATGATGATCAGGCTTCTGGGTTGCTTCTCTCTGCAAGCCCCTGCTGATATTTCACACATATTAATATTAGTGAAACACTGGCCTTCATCATAAAACAAGTTAGTTTCTTTCAATCACATCACACTGACTTCCCTCCTTTAAATGCAAACTTCACAGCACAGCGCGGCACTGCCCCCTTTCAATTCTTCGAATGTGTACCTAAAGTGAGAAACATAGCCTGAAACTAAGTACTTTTCCCAAATAGAGTTGTCATAGAGACTGCTGCAGCTTCAGATGCTACAAAAAAACCACTTGATGGAGGTAAGAAAGAAACCCCTTTGAAATCTATTGCTTCTGTCACTTCGCTAAAAAAACCAAACTCTATTATTTCTACAGGAAAATGAAGTTTCAACTACAAGAGGGTTCGATGTTTTATATTATACAAAAACATAGTGAATCTGCATGCAGCATACATAGGCCTTCAGAGGGAGGAAGGCAGCCGTTCAGAACAAACTTCATGGATTTTCTCTCTAATACTCTAAAAGGAAAGATCCTATTTGGTGTAAATAATCTCAAGAACAGAGAGGGCCTCCTAGTGAACATTGCGGTTAAGCAATCCTTGAAATGACACAAAAAGATCTTTGTTATCCGTCCCAAATATATCTTCTGCTTTTCTTAAAGTTTCCTGGAAGCAAAGGCAGTTGAAACCATTTACTACTAGTAAACAAAAAAGGTCCCAACGAGTAAAAGTTCATAGCAAACTGTTAGAAACCGATAGATTTACCTCTCTGGTCTGCTTTTGAGCATTGAGTTCCTTTATGTTAGAAAGAAAGGCACTAAACTGCTCGTACGACAGACGACTCCTGGAATAAATTACTGATTCATCAGACAACATGTTCTTTTCTACTTCTAAATTTTTAAATTTAAATTAAAAAAAAAAAAGTAAAAAGAAAAAAGACCTGGCTTGGCGGAAAAATTCTTTGCCATCAACTCGAGCAGGGCGACCTACAGCATTTAAGTGCAAAGGGTTTAAAAGAATCGTAATATAAAAAATAAATAAAAAATAAAAAAAGGCACAGAAAGAGATGAAAACTTCAAGACAAAAAATAAAGCTTTCTTTACCAGCCAGTTGACGAGAACGAGGAGGAGAACTTGCAGCTGAAGACTGCTGGCTTGACGGATACCATGGAGATAGTGCAATCCGTCCATCATATGAGGGTTTTGTTGGAGAAGTTGAACCAGACGTTATCTGTGGGGTAGCAACGGTGGAATACCTTCTGGGGGATACACTTGTTGAAATAATCTTTGGAGTTGCAGCGGGAGTGAGCCTTGGGGTGATATATGGCGATGAATATCTTTGTCCAATATGTTTTCCTGTTTAAGATGAAATATCGCCATGAGTGTATAATTTATCCACCATAAATTGAAGACAATTCCTCGAAGATCAACTGGCAGTCAACATTCTCCAGGATTTCAATTAACGCATTGTTTTAAGTATAGATGATTATAATCTAACTGTTATCAATTCTTTATCATCTATAGTTTGCATTGAGCAGGGTAGAATCCACAATACCTCCATCTATTGTGTTTTTCGCATCATTAGAACCACTGAAAGAATGTGAGGCGGGCCCATCTGTTACTTCATCTGAAGTCAGGTGAGAGTTAAGTCCAATTGAACACCAAGAACATAATGGTTTGTTGAGATGTCAAAATTGAAGGAAAACAAGGACAAGGAATTCTATATTACCCTTGACAGTATATGATGCTTTAGGAACTGCTTGATCACATGTCCCAATATCAACAGTTTCAGTTTGCTGTTAAAAGAAGACAACGCAGAAGAAATTATACATGAAGAATTATGCATTATCACATCAGCCGAACATAACTGGAAACATTTATGGACCAGGAAACTTACAGAGGATTCATCACTCAATGATAGCATAAGTTGTCTCTTAAATGTCTCCAGCTGTCAATAGAAAACACACCAGCCTTATGACAAGAAATATGAATTCTAACCAAGTGTAACTTATCAGGCTATCTAAGGAAATAGACAGTGCCTATCTTACTTTTTACTTACCCTAACCCGACTTCCCGATATCCTGACCGAACCCCCATGAAGCCAACTCAGAGTGATAAGCACGAAATATTTTAAGATTTAAAGACGAGATAGGAGGCAAAGAAATCAAGGAATTGTTGATGAATTTATAAGCCAGGCAGATGCTCAAGTCTAGAGGTATCAATGGCGTAATGGGGTCATATGCTAGCTCTTAAAAGGTCTATGAGCAAAACATAAAGAAGTTTTCACTATAAGTTAGACTAGTAGCCAACCAAAGCTAAATGCAACAGAGATATAAAAGTAGCTATTTTCTGTATAAGAGTGATCTCAATCTCACCTTTGCCAAATCACGTCCAAGTTTCTTGGAAGTCGTTGATAGTGAATCCCGTTCCTTGGAAAGCCTCGTCTTCATAAACACAAAAACAAAAAAACAAAATAAATAACAAGTAGTGAAACCAACATTACTTCAAATATGCTTCATTGAGGAACTAGAGAATTAAGCTCAAGAGTTTACCAAAAGCAATGCCAATATTCTATTAGACTTTAGAATCTAAAACCCCAAACCACATTTCCGTACCGCTCTATTCACACGATGTTAGTCCTCAATTAACTTTTATCGCTCAACTCGGAATAGCAGCAAATCAGAAATTCTAAATTCAGGTATGACACCAAGTCTTAAATTCGGATCATCATGTAATAATCAGAGCTAGATGATAATCTATGTTCTGAAGTGCCGATGCTAAGAAGAAAATACGGAATATCTTGGCCTTTCCCGAATTTCGAACCAAAAGCGAAGTACTGAGCTATCACCCATACATCTTCGCGGAAAATTGAGATGCTCCACAATCGAAAAATATCTCAACACAACAGGGATACAGCGACAATCATCGCCATTTCTCCATGATTGGCCAATACAAAAAAACAAATCTTCCAAGCAGTTCCAGTAACAAACACTGTACCCACTTACATTATCATCAAGCGCAATCTGCAACCTAGACTCAGCTTCCTGGTTCGCGTGCTCGAGGTGAGACAACTTCCCCTGCAGGTCGAAGATGGCCCTTTCCTTCTCTTGAAGCTCCTGCTTCATCCTAACCACTTCAGCTTCGAGATTCGAAACACGAGATGCTATCGCCATGGAGGTGATTTTACGAGCAAGATCGAGCTGATCGTATGGATCCGTTGGAATCACCGCCAGAAGCTCATCCGACAGATGGAAATCTAGCCCATCACTCTGCGACATTCTCGATCTCTCCGTTCGAACTCTTAAGAATCACAGACGGAGTAGCGGTAGGTAGAGGATTAAGCAGCAAAAGGGAGACAGACAGAAATCCAGATCGAAGAGGAAAATTAGGGCTTAACAGACGCGAAAAATGTTCAGAAAGAAGAGTATCTTGCGCTCCCTTTTCTTATTGCTTTGGTCCGATTTTGAAATTCGTTGTTTGAAATAAGGGTAGGTAAAGGATAGGATTGAAGTTGTATAGGAAATCTCAAAAGGGGATTTTTGTTTGCTCCCATTTTCAAATTTGTAAGCTTTTCCCTCCAAACTTCAACCCATCCTAAAGAAAGCAAAACGGCTTCATTTTAGTTCTCAACTCCCTCAATTAGGGCTAATTTCAAGAACTTCACTTCAAGTAAGACTGAACAACAAAGTGAACTAAAACATGTTTTTATCACTATCATATTATTTTTCTTGAATCATGCGTTGTATTCATTCATATTAGCACAAGGACCAAGCTGAGATTTGGGTTTTGAAATATTAGTAGCTCGACTTATAAATGAACAATTAATCATCACAATTCTTGTGATGTTGTCGAAGAGACCCTCCAGAGAGTAATTCAAAATCGTTGCTTTGTTAAAGTTGTGAATTACATGAAAGCATAGCAGAAGCTGCCATACAAACATCAGGCTCTAAGAGGATCCGTGGAGAGCGTAGCCCTTAATCTGAATTGCTCAAGTGAACAGCTACATCAAATCTTGGACAATGAGTGATTCTAGGAAAGACTAATACCTAAAACATTCTGAATAAAACTCTGGTGAGCTTGTCAAACATTTATTCTCCGGTGTATGATTCTTGTGGTCGCTCCTGTTTGAGCAGCTGCACCAACACGACACGACACACCTTGCCTTCGCTTTATCTTCAAAAGTCTAGCCTGTGAGCTCCCTGCCTCTCTTGCGACCGTTGTTCGATTTTGGGGACTCCTGATACCCATAACCAACTTCATTAGCATCTGCAAACTCACCTTCTTCCATGTTGCTAGAATCTAGATTGTACAATGGTTGTTGCCGCATTCGTTGAGGATGCTCATCTCTATCATCCTCTCGATGTTTATCTTGATACGAATCCTCGGGTTCCTGTTTATTCGATGACTTATTCCAACTTTGCCTCTGTTCTCGCTTGTTTTTCTCACTGCCAGCAGCCATTTCAACCCCAGCTTCCAACTCCCTTTCAATGAGGTCATCCTCATTCACCAATTCTTTTTTCTGGGTCATACTGCCAAGAGATTTCCTTCGTTTCTCAAGCGCAGCCTTTACTTTATCCTTATCAATCTTGATAGCTTCCTGAGGTTTGCCAAATGTACCTTCTCTAAAATCTATATTTCGTATTACATGTTTGTCTTTCAGTTCCATTGCATCCCTCGTTTCATTTATCTTCATATCGTTTCCAAAATCTACATTTGAACTTCCGATACTACGGTCTTGCTCATCCAATCCCTCTGACATCAGCCTTGTCGAGTTTTGAGCCTTTCCCTTGTCGTGGAAAGCCGATGGCTCCATCTCCTGTCGAACCTTAGATTCACTACCCGTTTTGTGATTGGAAGGACTTCTAAAATTTACATTTGAACTTTCAACACTATGATTCTGCATTGCTCTCGATGGCTGATCACCTGCAAATGAGTGTTCAGATGCTGGCCTAGATGAACCAGCTTTTGAGGTTCCGAGTCTTGAAGTAGCAATACCTGCACCAAGTGCACGACTGTCCGTTACAGCCCGTTCCTCACTGTTAGTAGGAGCTTTTGTTGTGGGTTGATTAGTGGGACCACTTCCAATGTTTCCATCAGCTTCACCAGAAGGTGGCAGTCGATTTTGCTCATAAAGTTCTAACATTTGATTGCTGACTTCTGCAGAAAAAAACTGTTCACTGTTAGAATCGCATCCAGTTATCAAAAGGGAAAATGAGAACAGTTAAACATGTTAAACAGATAATTTTCCAAGCGCATAACTGCTGCGTGAAATTTTTTATCAATAGACAGGTGAACTTTTTTCCTGGCTTAAGCTGTAGGTTTTCACAACATTAGATGTGGGAAACAGAAGGTGAAAAACTGTTGAGCATGCACTTCAATAAAATGAAGTCCAAGGAGCAACATCAGTTTTCGGTGCTCTTCTTGTACATTCAAAGAAAATGCATTGACACTGACCCTCCAGTTGCCGTGGGGTGACATCAAACTCTTGCCACCACACCTTTTCCCCATCTGATGGGAGTTTAACTTTGAGAAATTTGGCAGCAAGGAAAACGGCACCGGCCGCAATATGGTGAGGCTTAAATTGCAAGCAAAGAGATGTCCGCAATCTGCATACCACATCCCCATTTCAAGAAAAGAGAATGGAGAAAAGCCATCTATCTATAGGCAATAACAAAAACCAAGGCATGCAATCTGCCATACAGCCCATACCCATCATTGACGAAATTCCAAGCTACTTGAGCCAAGGCATTTTGAGCAACTTTGAATTTTTTAATTGCCTCAACAAGGGGTTTGTAGGGGTGGTGCACATTAAGATCAAAACCAAGAGTTGCCAGAACAACCCTCTCCCCAAGTAAAATTAACTCTTTTTGCCGTTCATACACCTCCTGCAGGAGATTATGTGAATATGTTTAAATAAATACATGCTTTCATTTTCATCTAACAAGGGAGACAAATTAATCATTTAGTCCAGAGTTGAACTGAACAACCTCCAGATTAATCCGTGATGGCTGTGTCAAACATAATCTTATTTCCACTAAATCCCACCATAGACCAAATTTTTAGCTGCCAGGTGTTCAAACCACAATGCTAATTCTTTTAAATCATAGTCTATTACAATGCTCATTAAAATTTTACAACGTTGCTGAAGCCAAAAGTAAAAGATCTACTAGCCCAATTGTAATTAAGACAAATGGGAAGATGAAAATTATAATAAACAAAGAATAAAGAATCCGGTACTGAAGTTTAGCATAAGCAATAACAACGTCAGAAATGAAAACACATGGGTACAGGTTTCAAGCCACCATGAAATATGAACAGAAAATAGACCCACTCTAACCAATTGATACCTTTTGCCTGATTTTCTGGGCTGCAGTAGGATCTTTTTTGTTGATGATTTCGTACGAAACCATGATAACATCCTTCAATGGGCGAGGGGTTTCTTCAACCTTTCCTGCGAGAAACATACACACTGTCGCAATTGTCTGCAAGAAAATTAAACTAAACTGAGGCACTAAAATAACATCATCTACTCAATACATAATATGAGCTAAACCTTATGCGAAAGGTTGCTCTGCTTCAGATTCCATTTGAACACCTTTTATGTAGCACAACAAAAGGCTTGTAAATGTAACAAATTTTTCAAAAAATGAAAATGACCATTATGCATTCCAACGTACTAGGACTCCTACCTCGCGCATTTTACATGCTAAATGTGAGACAAGAGCTGACAAGTGATCAAAGTCAAAGAAGTGCCAGAAAAATGTGAAAACCGTTTGGAATGAATGTAGGAGGCAGTTAATACATGATTAAATAACAATTGTGAGGTTGAGGACATGCTACTTTGCTGATTCACCAAAAGCTGAAGCTACCAGAGAAGAATTATAAGTTCCATTAAATGTAGGACAGGAAAGGAATCGTATGCCAACAAGGCTGATTGTGCAGTTGAGGGTGTTCTACAGCTGCAATGGATGGGGGAAACGAAATGATAGAATGGAAATGCAAACAAAATTTGGTTGCCTCCATAATGTGGAGGTATGGAAGCTCAATGGATGGAGGAATATTAATAACAACAAAACCCTTGGCTCTAAAACATACTAAGCACAAGTGTATGAACAAGGCCATACATGTATACTATGGATCTGGAACTAATAAGTGGACAACAACACATTATGTGTAGCTCAAGCACATCAAAGACTGAAATGGTCCAGAGATTATAAAACGCAGAATTTAAATCAAAGAGGGAGGACTCATGATCACTGTGATGAAAAATGCCTACCCAACTTAAGTGTAAGAAGAAGGCCATGCAAGTCTTACCACTCGGGACGTAAGAAACAAAGAAATTGATGAAGCAAACGAAGCCAACATAATCAAAGTGGCTTGTGAGCTACTAGATACAAGGTCTCAAACCATGAGAGTGCAGGAAAAATTGAGAAACAGGATGTTGTTGTGCCTCGGTGGACCTAAGCAGTGATGTTTATGCGTGTGTGTAGTTTGAAAAGAAACTAATATTTCATTTTCAAACGGAGAGTACAGAAGAAGGATTACAAAAAGATTCCCTATTTGGCAGAACTTGGCATCAAGCTACAATAACAAGATTTTTAGTTAAGAGTACAAAAACAGAAAAAAAATTAACAGGGTTCCTACAGGTGACTCGACTAGTATTTTCCCCTCAATTTTTTTTCCTTTCAAAACACAGTCTCCATTAAACGGTTATCACCCTATTGAACCAAAATATTTCACTTGGCCTTTGAAGCAATGATGTATGTTATATGAACAAACCAACTTCCATAAAGACCATAAGGTGACCTTTTTTTCCGTTTTGGATAAGAAACCAATTTCCATAAAGACAAATGAAAGTAAAAGGGAAGGACCTACAAAAGAGAATGGCACAGCCAAAGGAGAAGTTGGAAAAAGTAGAAACAATACGATGGTGTTCCTTAAAAGAAAACTAATAGACAAACCAACTTTCTAGATACTCAACTCGGATTTCAGCGTAAACAAGGTAGGTTCACTCCTGATTAGGCTGACTACTGACTTTACGAGAGCTAGTGAGCGGTTCTTTTGAGCGAGAAGCAGGCATCTCTACGTTGCACTGTTCAACAAATGAGCAAATTGTTGTGCAACTGCCTCTCACCAGTGTAAGAAAGGGATGTATAAAAACCTTTTCTTTTAGGATACCCCGGAACAACTCAGTAATAAAAAAAAAAGAGCAACTTCTCAAATGAGTTGAGTAGAATGTTAACATGCACCAATCCCTAAACCTCTTCCTATTTCTATATCAAGGCTCAAAAGACTTTAAAAAAATTTGTCAAAGTCAATGACCTCTATTGAAACAAAAGGTCCAAATTGACTAGCTACATCATCCTGCAAATGCTCAAACTCTGGACCCTAGGCAAGCCAAAAGTCTAACTATGTATCGTCATTCCCTATAAGTCGGAAAAAATTTGAGATTGCACAATTTATATATCGATGAGAAATTCCATCATAGAAGAGGTTTGGGATTCCTACGTGAGCAACAGAACAATAGATGCCCATGGTCCATGGACATCAAATTTCCACATCAGTCATCCACGGGCTCTCATAATAAAGTCTT